TCATGAATTTGTTTGTTTGTTTTTATGACATGTTTAAGCAATATATTGCAAAAAAATGTCATGTGAAGTGGTAAAGTATTGATCCTGTATGAGTGTGTACAAGCATATATGTGTTTTTTAATATTGAATTTGTGCTTGAGCTTTATTTTTCATTTTTTTCTCATATAGACTATATTTGTTAATTTTAATGTATATTGAAGTGTTTAGAGCAACAATTCTACATTAAAATTATAAATGAAAATTTGAACTTTGATAATAGCATGAAATTGTTCTTTCGACTCATGTTTATTTTTTTTATTCACGCGTAAGTTGCAAAATTGGTTTTATTAATGATAAAAATAACCGATGGTTATGATTATTCACCTATAAAACTATGATTTCAGGATTTGCATAAAACTAGTTAGTTTAGTAAATTCTTGAAGACATCATCGAACTAGAGTAGTTTGGCTATACTTCGGGCTTTTGAACCCCCATTTTATGTTTTCAAAATTTTTAGCCCTCATTTTATGTTTTCCGAATGTTGTAATCCCCAACGTTGGGTGATTTCGATGACTTGTTTGTTTTTAATAATTAGGCCCTTTCATATTGCTTGAAATGGGTCTAGAAAGAACTAGGATCTTAGAAATAATTAAACTAGTGTGTTTAATTGTTTTTTACCATTCATAGTTTTAACAAAGAAATTTGTTAAGCATAGTAGTATTGGTCATTCATTAGAACATGTAAGAGGGAAAATGAAATGTTGTTCCAAATTTTCCTTTATTCTTGCTACTTTTAAATTCTTTCTTTTGAGTTCAAATTTTGTTACTGTTTGGAAGCTCAAGAAAGTAGATGTTATCCTCCTTGCAAAATTCCAATATGGGAAACAATGGAGGAATAATTTAAAACAAAGACTCCTTGATTTAGAATTTAGGAGTCTTTAGTTTACATTCTAAATCATGAAATTGTTTGTCTTATGTTAATAAAGTGTCTTGATATAATTTTCATGATGAATGATTGAGTAATAAACTTTCGTATAAGCAAGTATGTTTTATGCATCATGATTTTGTTTCTTTTTCTCTATAGTAGTCATACTCTCTAATCTCTAAAGTAAATTTGAAGTATTGAAACAACAATTATGCACTAAGATTAGTTTTTGAAGTTGAACTTGAAAAAAGCTCGCGTATTTAACCTGTTTAATGGCCAAACTCAATTGCATACTTAGTTTTCAAAGGAACAACATGATTATTAAATCATTGTGATACATTTGAAAATTGTAAAGCTCGAGATCTACATAAACCATTTGTAATTTAGGCGATTCTCATAAGTAGCTTGAATGGCATTGTAGACACATATAAATTTCTCCCCAAAACCAAATCCGATGATGAACAACCTTTCACCGCCATTGTTGCTCGGGTTGAGTATTTAATTTTTGCATTTCTTAAATCCATATTCAATACCAATACCATCAATCAACACAATTTCTAGCCCATTTTCCAAAACCATAACTTATTTTCCTCTTTTCGAGCCTTTAAACCCAAAATAATTCATTTCATGTCCCATTAAATCATTGATTTCGTGTCATATTTATAAAAAATATTTAGACCAGTTTATTTTTATCCATAATATGTGTCCAATGATTGAATATTTTGATGGGGTTTGAAAAGAGCTTTCCAACGATATATTATCAGCCCAAATTCGAGTTATGACGAATAAGTTGTGGCCAAAATACTAAACTGAGCCTAAACCGAACATAAGCCCACCTTACTTATGACCCAATGATCTTGTGGAGGATCCAAAAGATTTAATCCCATTCCTAAACTAAATATGATTAATTGGAAGCTTCTATAAGTTTCTACAAGATCTTAATTATCCTTCTTGAAAAGATAAGATTAAAGAGTTTGAAATTGAATAAAACATTTCTTTTTGAAAGTCCTAATTCTATTCAGATTGAAAGACGTTCAAAGATAGTCAGATAATATTTTCTTGCCTTATATTTTTCATCCAAATATTAGATGGTTGGATAGCCTTGAAATTATATTTCCAATGATATATTATTATATTAATTCTGAGCTATAAAGAAAAAGATATGATTGAAATACTAAACTCTATCCAAAACTGACACTGTCCCACTATTTCGATAAGATCTTTTATTCTAAAACATATTTTAATCTAATTTCAATTGGGTTAGAAAATAAACTTCAACAAATTTTCAAAGACATGATATTTATCTTATTCCAATTTTTAGATCAAAAGATATGATAAAAACAAAACTGCAAAAATTTTTGTTTATCGCAAGAATTTTATTCCGATTCGAATTCTTATCTTTTCTTAATTCTTCGACCATTCTTCTTTCATTATAAATAGAGGTTATATTACCCTTTTTCAATCATCAACAAGCTTGATCAAAAAATCATTCTCTTCTCTCTCTTTAGCCTAAACACTATCCTCCTTATTCCTCCATATTACTTTCCTTAAGCACTCCAAGTTGTCAATACAACACCCAAGGTTCCGTCCGTAAACCAAGGCGTGAAAGGTATAATTAACTGAGGGTTTGGACTAAATCAACTCTACTTTGTTTTTATTTGTTTCAATTTGATTTATATATCTATTGAGGTTACTAACAGTGTATTCATGATGTAGCAATTCAAGGAAACGCGGAAAGTGAGTAATTAATCACTTAATTACTCTTTTTTTTTTATTCTTGGTGCTAGCATCATGATTAGGTTAATTTATATTAGATTTGACTAACAATTTATTGTTGAATTACTTCTAATATTAATGTTGATTGTATTATATTTTTTTACCATCATATTGCATGTTTAAAGGGAGTACATAATTGGAAATCACGACTAATAAGATAATTTTGACATTCGGTTTAGGTTGCTATTTAATCTTGTTATTAATTCAAGTGATCACTAATATTTTTAAATTATGTGTTGCATTAATATTAAACCAATTTAGAAAAATTATAGTTTGGAACGAATTGAATCTTTGTTTGAATGTCTGAGATCATAGGGATCACTTTTCACTATAAGAATCGAGTAGAGGCCAATACGGGTGAATGTGACTCCATGACTCACTTCGTACTGTCATCCCCGATCATCCTTTCGTTGTTCCGAACCATATGGAGTTAGTAATCTCATGGATTATGAATGAGGTGTAACCTTCATGGGTTAATCGTTTTTGCCTTTCGTTGTCCCTTAATCGTGGTTGCCTTTTATGATCCATGAACGGTTTACAAGTTCCTTAAAAACTTGTTGGCAACTCCCTAATTTTCTTGTCCCTAATCTTATTATGTCAATTTCCACTTCCTATGAGTTCCAAGAATATTAACAACATGCTTAACGTAGGCGCACTTCAAACGACGCCTACTATTTGGTGACTCCACTAGGGAGGGTTCTTAGTTATTTATCGATTTGGGTGATCAGTAATTGAGATGAGTGGATGAGATTTGAAAGATTCTTGAATTGTATTCGTGCGATTTAATTGGAATTGTCACATATGAAGATGAATTTTAGCTTACCTATTTTGCCACAATAGTATATGTTTTACGTATGTGGCTAGCCCGGGGGATTTAAGCTCTATCAACCCAAAAACGCTCATGGCAATAAGGGTTCATCCGAGTTTTTAAATCCACCCAAACCATGGAGTCAAATTCGAGTTCATCATGAACTTGCGGAACCACCCATTGGCATACACCCTCAAGGGAGGCTGCCTTGCTAACGCGTCCAAACTCTTAACCATGGTACCCTTTGACACCAAAATAAGCTTGACCGTAGTCGAACATAGAACTTGACTTTAGGTTACGAACTTCATTGCATCATGCGTGCCATTTGCTTATACGTGCATTTTTTTGACTTTTTATTTATTCATTTATATTTTTCTCTTTTCAAACCTTTTTTTTTTATTAGAGTCGAGTCATAGATTTTTAAAAAAAAAAAAATTGTGTCACTCGGATTTTTATTCCCCTATACCGCACAAGAGTCAACTTGTTTTGGTCATATCCGAAGTTCTAGAAAGACTTAAGTGTCGTGCCACATATGGATCTGTAGTCCCAAGTTTTATCTTTTAATTAGTATTGTTTTCGCCACAGTCAAAATCACAGATCAAAAGTTATAATCAATATATTACAGACTGTGCAGCTTAGTTGTCTTTTTAGTGTGCAACCTTTTATTTTTTAATTTTTTTTATTTTTTCGTGTCAAGCTAGTATTAGCCAAGTCCTTTAATCCGCTTCAACTCGTATAAAATAGGATTATAGATTTTTATTTTTATTTTATTATTTTTTTTAATACCCATGAGTCCTAACTCTTCTAGAATTCTAGTCATCTTCCTAGTTTCTTGCATTGTGTTTGATTTTTGTGCTAAACTTAACATGTATTCTTTGTCTTTGATTTTGGCCGGTCTTATTTATGACTAACAATTTCCAATGGAGCGCTTTCACTTAGTATATAGCATAAACATTAAAATTGGACCAAATTTATCAAGTCAGTTTGTCTTTTAGTCTTCTGTGCTATTTGGTTATTGGGTCCTTTGTTTTTCGCAACGTCCCCATGTCTAGCTATGCGATCATACCATGAGTCTTAATAAAATTACCTATTCACAGATGTTGAGTCATTGCACACACTTTGTCTACGAGTAATGCACTATATTGTTTATTATCATATACTAGGACCATGCATGCATCGTTTTCCGTCGTAGTAGGAATGAGTGGAGTATTTCCCTTCAGTTTTCAAAGTTGTTTCATACACTCTTCCTTTCCAATTCAATCACTATTAGAAAAAGTGTTATTTGTAACGCCCTAGTAGTAACTGACATAAATTATGTTAGTTACAAAAAGAGTATTAGTAACTGACATAGATAATGCGGGTTACAAATAAACTAGTATTAGTAACTAGCATAACCAAGGTCAGTTACAAATAGTAGGTCAATGATAGGCTGATCAACTTTTAATAAAGGGCATAAAAAATGTTAGTTACAAATAATAAGTCAAACTTTATAGACCTTATTAATTATAAGGGGCTTTATTAAGGCCGGTTACTAATATTAATGCCCACTACTCACACTTCACTTGTATTTTTTTTTTAATTTTAAATAAAAAAATTAGGTACTTGCCTACTATCTGCGCTTCTTTTTCCTACACACCTTTATTTACTTTTTTTTTGGGTTTTTTTCTTATCCCCAATTCCCCCAATTCCCAATTTTTACAGAAAGAAAACATTGAAGACCCCTAACTTCTTACTCACTTCCTCTCCCCTAACTCTCATTCAAGGATCGGCGCTGCTCTTAGATCGACGTTGGCCGCACTCCGCCGACGGCCGACTGGTGTTCTCCTGCTTGCCTTTAGCCTTTTCTGAGTTCTCTCTCTTCGACAAAGCAAAACTCCAGTCGTCAGGTTTAGTTTTTAATTAATCTATTTTTTTAATTGTTAATTGAAATTGTGATTTCATTCATTTGTGAATATGTGATTCTGTGAATGTAATGTATTTTGATTATTATAGGTGTGCGCCTTGATTCGAATTATGAACCCTAAGTTTGGCAAAATTCTTTTAATATTTCGATTCTGGTAGTCAATCATTGGTTTTTTAGGTTTGATTGCTTATAATATATCATTTATGTCGTTCTATTGTTGAGAGGGTGGTGAAATTACGAATGTCCGGCCTTTCTATTAGCTGTATTGGGGAGCGGGAGGGGAAGGAATTGGATGTCCGGTCACCATTGGGGAGCAGGATGGGAGGAATTGGATGTTCGGCCTTAGGTTTGGGAAGGGAAGGGGAGGAAGTGGATATTTGAAGGTCATTATTTCTATGTTTATTTGTGAAGGAAAACTTGAATTGACTCATGACTGTCAAAGTGCTTTGTCTAATACTAAATTACTGAAGTATCAGTTTTGTAGCCTGATGAACAGAGTTTTGCACAGGTGTATTTCTGCCACCAGACCATCAATGTTAAAATGAGATGTGATGGTCAGTTACCCGACTTGTCTCTGTATATGCTGTATAATATTGTGTAGAATTTATTATGATTAATTTATATTGGTCTTATAAATGTATTCCATCTTATTGTCATGAAGCAGTCATGGGTTTCTGCTAGTTTATGATGTAACGAGTCGTCATTTAATAGTAATATTCTATCCATTAGAATCCCTCGGCCTAGGATGTTATGCTATCTATATTTCCCACTATTGAAAAAAAAAATATTTTACATGAATGTTTAATCTTTCTCAATGTAATATATGGTCTTTACATATATTTGCTTATGTGAAGTGGACTTGAAAATCAAAACTGAATTCGGAACTGAAAATCATAACTGAATTCGGAACTGAAAATCAGAACTGAATTCAGAGCTGAAAATTAGAACTGAATTCAGAGCTGAAAATCAGAACTGAATTCAGAATTGAAAATCAAAACTGAATTCAGAGCTGACTTTCAGAACTGAATTCAGAGCTTATTTTTATGTGCGATCTTGAACTTATTTTTATGTCCTATTGAGCGGGTCATTGTTGTTATCAGTTTGTGTGTTGTCATTGTTCTTAGTCTTGAATTGTGATTACTGATGTTTAAGATGATAGCTATTTTTTCCTTTTGAAGATCTGTTCCTATATTGTGATTATAGATGTTTGAGATTAGTAATTTGTGTGTTGTCAGCCTGTCATGGTGTGTTCCTTTATTGGGGAAAACTTGCTCCAATATTGCAACTTTGTTTAAGCTACCTTTAGTGTGAGACTGTGAGCTGGCTAAAAGTACGGGGAAAAGAAGAAAAATTCTATCTCATATTTTTTTTTGCTGATTTTCGAATTTGGGTTCAACAATAGTGCTTCTATTGAGGTTTAAAGGTATGTAATTTTCAAATTAAGGTTCTTGTAATTATCACTTTTCTTAATTCAATAAGAGCCCTAAAATTCGAATTGAATTTCATGATTTCGACCTTGTGGTGTTGTTATGGTTGATTAATTTTGATTTGATTAGGAGATGTGGTATTTGCTTGTGTGCTGCCGATTTTAGGTTTAATTTGCTTATTCTTTTTAATGGAATTAATTTGCATTATATGAGTAGGATTACTTTGTAATTTTTTTTGTTTGTTTTTGTTGTGAAACTTAATGTGCAACATCAGTTTGCATAATGTCAGTCTGTGTGATTACCTAGTTGAACTTAATGTGCTTTGTTTATAGATATTTTGATTTGCAGTATAGAAATTTTTTAAAGCATAATTTCCCTCCTACACCTATCTTTATTTTGAAATTATTCAATAATTGTAGCTACATATTTAGTTATTGGTTAATTTTCTTGATAAAAGACTGCATTAGAAACTAGGGTGTAGTTAGTGCGATACACTGCTAAAGGTCTGCAAACATTTATCTGTGTTTGGTCTGGTTCGTAATGTACATGTCATCACTTCCAGGTTTAAGAGTTGTTCCTGAGTATATTGCAGTCAAGTCTGAACATAGGATTGTGAATTGAGATTGAGAGCACGATGAGGGTTGAGATTGTGCCAGAGTAGTGTCAGTTGAACAAAATTTGTTTATGGGAAACTGGTCATTTGATGAAAGGATGTCGTGTATATCTGAATTGGCTATACTTTTTATTCTTCTCGTACTTGCCTTCTTTATTAAATTTCCTGAGGGGTTTTTTCCTTCCTAGGAAGTAGTTAGGTGCCCTCTTTTTTTTTTCTTTTTTTTTTTTTTTTTTTTTTTTTTTTTTTGGTATGAAAAAAGTATTTGAGCATTATTTGTTCTATCTAATACATAATTTTTTCTTGAAAAATTAATTTAGATGAGTTTTGGTTGGGCCCAAGAAGCTTGAGTCGATATTCTGAATCATTATCAGAGAGGCAGCAATATATTATATACTAGCATATTTGATCAAGTATATTTGATTAAGTAAAGCCCCAAAAAGGTTAATAAAGGGGAGAGGGAATGAGAGTTAAAATTCAGAACTGAAATCATGGCTGAAATTCAAAACAGAAATCAGAGCTGAGTTTCAGAACTTAAATTAGAACTGAATTTCACAACTGAAATAAGAGCTGAATTTAAGAGCTGAATTTAAGAGCTGAAGTTCAGAACTAAAATAAGAACTGAACATCAGAACTGAAATCAAAGCTAAAATTCAGAGCTGGAATTCTACTGTAATTGTATTTTGGCTGGTAGTTGTTATATCTAGAGCTGAAATTCAGAATTGTCTTCATGTGAATCTCTGAGTTTCTATGAATGGTCTAATACTTCAGGAATATTGTGGTGCTTTAATTATATTACTAGATATGCTGTTCTTCTAATTTTTTCAGCTTCAATCATCTGATTTTTTTTTTTTGTTCTTGTGTTATTACAGACATGTCAGACATGATGGATAGTATCATTACACTGGGAGGAAACTTGGCAATTTGAGGATCACATGGATACTATTATCTTTGGACTTGAAGGAGACTTGGCAAATTAAGGACTAGTTTTATGTCTCAACCTTCTGTAAGTAGCGAAATTATCGGCACACTCAGGTTATTTCAACCATAATCTCATTAAATACCACTATGTGCTTTAACTTTACTAATATATACATGTATGGTTAGAATTCTTACGATAAGGGTGACAATTTTGGGTTTCAACTTTTTTGTTACTAACGCTCAAAACTAGAGTTGTCCAAAATAATGAAGATTTTAGTACACAACATTCCTATTTAAACAGACTACGTACTCATATGCATGTAATTAAAAGTTATTTTTCATTCATCTAATCTAATGCTAGCTTTTTATGACTTTTTTTAGACCTTATAATGTATATAGGTCACATCTCAAAGGCAATGCTTTCAAAATGAGTAAGCCACAGTTACTACACTTAAGAATGGAGGTAGACGTATAATTCTTGCCTTTTCGTTCTATTAGTAATAAAAGTACTATTTAATTTATTAAATAATTGTACTACATTTATTTGAATTAGTGTGCTCAACAATGTGGTGGTACCAAATGTGCTTATTATGTAAGGAGATATATGTATGAGATAGTATCTTTCGGTCTTTCCATAGAAATTGCAAGGGTAATTTGAAAGAGAGTTAATGATGATTTTACCTTTTCTTTGCAAGCTAAAATGCTTTATACGAGTTTTGGTTGATGTTTTATTTTTATAAAGTATTATAGACACGTATCTTTTTTTTTATATATTTGCAGGAGTATTTGGCAAGATTTGCAGCCTACAACGATGTAGAATTGGATGAGATTCGAGAACAACGGGCTAAGTTTTTAGGCTTAATTTTTTGTTGAAAGACTAGTTATCTTATTAATCGACGTTATGATTAATCGCATTTAGCTTAATAAAACAATACAACACTTTTCTATATACATGTATATTTATTTAATTAGCCTTTTGGTTATTGTTATTAAACTTCTAAATTATAAATCAATGATTTATTTTATTCAAGTTTTAATTGTATTTTTTAATGTATAATTAATTTTATTGCATTGTATTGTTGTGGATGAATAATTCTAGTTGTGTGGAATTATTTCGAGTGTTTGTGTTGTATGTTGTGAGTGAATTTTAATTATATGGAAGTATCGGAGTACGTGTTTTGTTGGTTGAATTGTAACAGGTTGTAATTCATTTGACGATGGGTCGTTTGGTATGATATACTACCATTTTTGTATTCGAAACAAATATTTATGTAAAAAAATTATTTATTTTTTAGTAACAGACGTAATCTAATGCTAGTTACTAATATTTTTTTTTTTGAAAAATAAAAAATATATTCGTAACCGGCGTTAAGATTTGTCAGTTACTAATAATACCCTAATTGTAACCGGCGTAACTTAATGTCAGTTACGAATAATATGATTTCTAACTTGGAAAATAGACTTTTTGTAACTTGCGTTAGATTAAGCCAGTTACGAATAGTATATTATTTGTAACTAACATTAGCCGGTTACGAATAATTTTCACTAGTTGTAACGGTGGCATTCGCAACCAACAATGCCAGTTACAAAAAGTCCATTTCGCCAGTTACAAATAGCTCTTTTTCTACTAGTGAATCTGATTATCAAGTAAATGCATTAATTGAGTTCATCCTTACACGTTACTTGAGTTTAAAATCACTAGGCAATAGCTGGAAGAATAAGGGGAACGTCACTCCTTCCTTCTTTCCCTCCAGTCAAAGCATCAACAGCAACAATCTTTTTTCCTCACCAGGCGGCAAGAAATAACTCATAAACAACCATGAAGATAAAGCACGATGCAAGATTCTTGCCAAGATTTCATGTTTTCTTCTTCTTTTGTTTCAAACCCTCCCCCCTAAAAAGTCTAGCATAGGTTCTCCTTATCCATGTGTCTATGTGTCACATTTTTTACCTTCTTCATAGCTTACATTCAATCATGTGAATAAAAAAAAAATAAATTAATCGCCGTACCAAACATAAGGTATACCAATTATTTAAGGCACCTTTGCAACCCATTATTTCCCATTAACAATTCAATCGCATATCCATTTCTTCATCAACCACTTTGAGCCTTGTCTAACGATTGACCTAATTTTCAACCAACATTCACCAAGGCCTGGAACGGGAAAGTGTGAAATTTGTGTAACATTTAAAAAGCAAGTAAAAAAAAGCAGTAAAGCGATAATAAAACAATGTCTAAGAGCAAGTGTTCCAATGTCTTTGATATGAACACGTCTCAAACTGCGTCTCTCATCGAGTGCTTGGTACCGTGCCTGAGAAACATGGATGCTAAGTGAGTGATGGAATGCATGATCTGAGATTGTCTACATTGATTCAAAAGAATGAAAAAAAAGAAAAGAAATTCAAAACAAAAAAATATATGAAAAAAAACTTGTAAAGTCCAATACATAATTGCATATCTTGGGGAATTCTCTCGAGTCTTGAGCCTTTTACCCCTTTCTTCCTTAAACCATCAGCTTAACCATTACAACCCTTGAAAGACCATTGAGGTGTATACACACTTGTGCAATGTTTGGTTAGAGCTAAGTTTAGTCTGATTCCTAACGGATACATAGGCAACCTCACATTGAGGTGCGAACATATTCACATTCATATGCATGATCGAGTCAAAGAATATCCAATGCTTACCCCTACCCATTTAATGCTAGACTTTGTGGCTTGAACCCACATCACATTAGCTTACCCAGCCTAAAGAGTCATCATCTTTAACTCTTCCCACATATATTTCCATCACCATAACCTTTGCAGCCAGCCTTAGTATCACATTCACACACATCATTTATACATCGATATCCATAACATCTTTCCCTTGAAGAACCCTTTTTCATGAAATATTGTTTCAACATTGTGCATGTTTCATCATCTTTCAAGACAACATTCATCAAATGAAAACATTATATACTTGCTTAGTTTCCAAACCTAAGCAATATTCATTATTTCATGCATCGCATATCTTGCTTACCTCCTTGACCAAAGCAACATTCATTATGCAATAATCATCAATCAATTCATTTATATACATGCTTAACGTCCAGACCTAAGTGACGTTCAAGATCGTTTCTTTACACCATATATAATAACTAACTCCGTGACCTAAGTTCATTAATCTATTGTGTCACATGATGTAATTGTCCTTAGCCTCCTAGCCTACGAACATGCATCATGCATACATTATCTTAAAGAAAAGCAATTCAATCCATGCGATTCATTTCCTCTTGCTCAACGAGGAAGTTATAACTTCTCTCCTTTTTCATTTCTTTTCTTTTGGGGAAGTTCGAAAGTAAAAGTTCAGTTTTTACATCTTTCTTTTTTTGGGAGATAGTTGGTACCCTCCCCTCGTCTCATGACAAATATGACCGAATTTTTTTTTTTTTTTTTTTGCATTTTCGGTTGCTTGTGAATGCACACACACACTATACACATACACAACAACAAGTTATACACATGTCATGTCTGTCAAGTCAAGCTTGGTCAAGTTGGTAAAGTCAATCATAGTCTATACGAGTCCTTTGACAAATTTTATTTTGCAAGTCTCAATTACAGCCAACGTTCAAGGACAAGCGAACCATCTACAACCCACGTTCGGCGATAAGCGAACAACCTACAGCCCATGTTTGGGGACAAGCGAACCAATTACATCCCACGTTTGGGGACAAGCGAACCAATTACAGCCCACGTTTGGAGACAAGCGAACCACCTACAGCCCACGTTCGGGTACAAGCGAATCAATTACAGCATACGTTCGGGGACAAGCAAACCATCTACATCCCACATTCGGGGACAAGTGAATCAATTAAAGCCCACATCTGGGGACAAGCGAACCATTTATAACCCACGTTTGAGGACAAGCAAACCATCTATAGCCCACGTTCGGGGACAAGCGAACCAACTACAGCCTACGTCCGGGGACAAGCGAGCCATCTACAACGCACGTTCGGGGACAAGCGAACCATCTATAGCCCACGTTCGGGGACAAGCAAACCATCTACATCCCACGTATAGGGACAAGTGAACCATTTATCGCCTACGTTCGAGGACAAGCAAACATCTACAACCCACGTTCGGGGACAAATGAACCATTTACAGCCCACGTTCAAGGACAAGTGAACCATCTGCAACCCACGTTCGGGGACAATCAAACCAACTACAACCCACGTTTGGGGAAAATCGAACCATCATCATTTTAGTGATCATCTCCCAAGCGAAGACGATTCATAGCGCAAGGTTCTCGATACACAAAGACTTGCAATCTCAACATCAGACAAGTTTTTCCTCGAGCATGGAAAATTGTGGATCATTTCCACCTCTCAAGATGAAGAAGTCAACGATTATATCATTTATCGAATTTCCTCAAGCATGGAAAGTAACTCAACAAACATCATCTAATGGATTTATTTAAGCATAGAAAACAACCAAATTTATTTTCCATCAATACACTGGTGTCAGATACTATCGAACATATTATTTGTCACCTATACACTGGTGTCAGATACGCATTTTATCCCTTTATTATTTTATATGTGGAACTAACGCTTTTATGCAAGTATCGGCGTATAAAGAGTGATTTAGGATCGTAGAACGTCTTAAGTCATTCTCCGTCCCTATCGACTACTTTGAATATTGTTTTCGAAACAGACGTTCTACAAACTATGTCAAAGTGAGGGCTTCTATAGACACCTAAAAATGTCTCCCCAAAACCAAACCCGATGATGAACAACCTTTCACTGCCATTATTGGCCGGGTTGAGTATTTAATTTTTGGAATGCTTAAATCCATATTTAATACAATGCCATAAACCAAACCAATTCCTTGCCCATGTCCCGAAACCATAACTTCTTTTCCTCTTTTGATGCCTTTAAACCAAAAATAATTCATTTTGTGTCCCTTTAAATCATTCATTTCGTCTCATATTTATAAAAGCGTTTAGACCAGTTTATTTTTGTCCATAATCTGGGTCCAATGATTGAATATTTGGATGGGGTTTGAAAAGATCTTTCCAACGATATATTATAAGCCCAAATCCGAGTTATAACGAATAAGTTGTGGCCAAAATACTAAATTAAGTCTCAATCGAACATAAGTCCACCTTACCTACGACCCAATGATCATGTGGAGGGTCCAAAAGATTTAATCCCATTTTTAAACCAATTTTGATTCATTGGAAGATTCTATAAGTTTCTAAAAGATCTTAATTATTATTTTGGAAAAGATAAGATTAAAGAGTTTGAAATTGAATAAAACTTTTCTTTTTGAAAGTCCTAATTCTATTCGGATTAAAAGATGTTCAAAGATAGTCAGATATTATTTGAGTTCCCCATATTTTTTATCCAAATATTATATGGTTGGATATCCCTTGAAAATATATTAACAATGATATATTATAATACTAATTCCGAGCTATAACGAAAAAGATATGATTGAAATACCAAACTCTATCAAAAACTGACACCGTCTCACTATTTCGGCCATATCTTTTACTCTACAAAGTATTTTAATTTGATTTTAGTTGGGTTAGAAAATAGACTTCAACAAATTTCCAAAGACATATTATTTTTCTTATTCTGATTTTTGAATCAAAAGATACAATAAAAACAAAAATTGTAAAAACTGTTGTCTATCGCAAGAGTTTATTCCGATTCGAATTCTTATCTTTTCTTAATTTTTCGATCCTTCTTATTTCATTATAGATAGAGGTCATATCACCCATTTTTCTATCATCAACAAGCTTGATAAAAAAAATCGTTCTCTTCTCCCTCTTTAGCCTAACCACTCGCCTCCTTATTCTGCCATAATACTTCCCTTAAGCACTTCAAGGAGTCAATACAACACCCGTGGTTCTGTTCTTAAACCAAGGTGTGAAAGGTATAATTAATTGAGGGTTTGGACC